CCCCGCCGCATCGGCGGCGGCGGCGGCGCGGTCGACAATCTCCGATCCTTTGAGAATGTAGTCCTGCCCCTGCGTCGGGTAGATGAAATCGTTCTCCGACAAATCGTGCCATACGAAACCGTTTTTGTAGCTCCTGCATGAGCACCACCATTGTCCATGAACACATCACAAATTACAATAAATAAACAAAAATGAATATGAATATTGTAGTGAAAACGGTACCGTTTGGCGGACCAAGAGTACATGGAGGCCATGGCTTTGCCTCGGAGAGAGTTCAAGCGGTTAATGACGTCTTTGAGATAGAGTCCGTGAGGCGAAGAGAGAGGAACCTCCATGAAGTGAGGGTGCTCGAGTTGGCCGTTACGGGAGAGATAGTAAACGACGGAGACTTTTCTGGGAGTTTTGGGCTTGGGCTCGGCCCAGACTTTGGTTCTCTCTGGACTGGTTTCTCTGTCGGTCCATTTCTTCGGGATCTGAATCTCCGTGGTTATTCTTCTTCCCCTGGAACTCGAACTCAGCGACATTTCTCTTTCGCTGCAAAACCTGGATGGATGGCGATGTAGCGAAGGGAGACACAAAAGAAGCGCGTTGAATTCGATTTTGAAGTTGTGTTTCTGTGTTTTTAAGGGTGTAAGGGTGTGTTTGGCGGAGGGAGAGAGAGAATTCAAAATGAGGATGCCAAAGACAACAGCTACCAAACAAGGAATGGCTGTTTGGGATTCAGTACTGCCAGCCCTGTGACTGTGACACTAGAATTCTCTTTAGTTTAATGCATTCGCTTCAACGCGCAGAATAAAAAAAACAGCAGAACGCCGTCGTAACGGCCTTGTTTCTTCCTTCTTTTTACTGTCACCAATTCCAAATTAATTGCGTTTCAACGCTTTCGCAGTAGTATACAAAACAAAAATTTGCCCACGCAATTTTTAAAATTACAATCTAGACCTTTGTTCCATCGTGCTTGTCGTTTTACCAAATCTCTGACCAAATGAATTTACGGAATATCTATTCCACAGCAAGTAATAGAAGCCAAAAGATACGAATTGGGACTGAAAATTCAAAATTCGGACCTCAACTGTTTGCATTTAATGCTTGTGTTGAATAATATTACCACTATACTACTATTAGTATTACACACGTACAGGTTTATAATTGGTTTTTTTTTTTTGGTGGTCCCGCGGTTTTTAGTGCTTGTCATTTGCAAAAGTCTACGTTTATTTTGCTTTTATTCTCCTTCTTTCTATGAACTTTCAACAACTTTTTATTTGAAAAATTCAAATGATTTTCAGCTAGGTTGACCGCTAAGACTCGTACACCTAACTTTGACTATGTTGAGTTATGATGTTGCGGTTCTCTCACGGTATCATTCGAGTTTATTTAATTAACCCTAGAAGGCTAGTGAATTTAGGGGCCTAATATTTTTAAATTTACTCCTCTTTTTTTTTTCATAGTTGTTTAAGGTTTTGCACGGAATTTAAGGAAATTATTGATATTTTAATTTTTAAAAATATTTATTACTTACTTTTCTATTTTACTCATTATTTTTTTTTTTGTATTTTTAAGACTGTTGAACTATTCCATTAAATAGTTGTTTCTTTTTTTTTTATTTTTTTATAGTATTTTGTTAGAAACATATTGCTCTTATAAATGCATATTAACTTTATATGAGTAGTTGGAGAAAAATTAGGTAGACATTAAAAATAAATACATACATTGTTCAGGAAACATATATTAATTATCAAGGGTAAAAATGAAAGAAAAAAATTAATAACTTATTAATTTTAGTAATATGACAATGAAAAAAAACAACAAATTCTGACAAAAAAACGATTATAAAAAAAAAACGGAGGGAGTATTAAATTGTATGTGATGAAGAGACAAGAGAGTGGGTCCCAATCCAGATGGCTATTATTTCTGGGATGCGAACGTTGACCAGGCCCAATATTGTTCCCAATGCCTCCTCAAAATAAGTGATATCCATGACCTAGTTGAAGCATATTTTTTAACAATTGATTATTCTAATGCAAATAATAAGTTTCTTTGTGAATGGCATGGGTTTAGATAAAATGAAGAGAGTGAACGGCGTGAGTGTGGTGAGCATTGTGCGGTTGATTTCCGACGAGGACGCGACGATGAAATTGATGAATAAAAAAATAATGATTTGGGAAACTAGCGAGGTGTGTGAAAATGAGAAATGGTCGGTTGGTCCAATATATCGGCACAAAAGTCCAAGGCATGGATCGAAATTTGCATGAACAAATACATTGAAGAGCACATGCATTTGCCAGTGCCCACAATGGCCCCAGGGTTTGAAATCTTAACAACGCTTATGTTCCCACCTGTTGACTCAACTGCACATCAATAAATAACCTTGCCAATGTTTATTATTCATTCACTAAATCATAATTTTACAATGTCACAAGTGTCATAAATTGCTATATATGTATGTGTGAATCTTGTTATACTAATTTAATAATTGATGTGTCGCATATGCATGTGGTGGAGTAATTAATTACTTATTTATAGAGAGAGAGAGAAAAAAAAAACATGAAGAAGCATGAAATGTGATTGCAGATATTATAAAATTCTTTCTTGATGTTGTGGTTATGGAGGGAGAAAACACCGAATCACGTGAATTCCATCTGGGATGATAAATAATTTAGGCATAGAGATGGGAGAAGAGAATGAGTGTCATGGAAATAGAAAGGACCCGAGAATTGTTTTCAAAGAGTATAATGGGATGAGGATGACTCTTCAACGTTGTAAGAGACTCGATCGACAATCAAATTTTCGGGATACATGACGTGTAATTTGTTTTTTATTGGCGACATACAAGTTGGAATAGATTCATATATCTAGCAAGATGTGAGGTAAAAATATGAGTTTGATTTTACGTACTGCTCAACAAGTTTGTTTGTAGGTAATTAATATTTTATTGAAAATCAGATTGAATTGGTGAATCAGATCCAAAGATCGGTGAACTAATAAAGTAAACAGTTTACATAAACGTTGAAGTTGACTTTGAGAAATTTTGGTCAAAAATTGAGCACAGTTGGTCAGTAAAAAATCTGTCATTTTAGTTTTGATGAAATGGCCATATGAAACTCGTTTTTATATTTTACAATATCTCAAGTGATGAGACAGAGAGAGCAAGATTTTTCTTAATATTCAATTTAATAGGCTACTTTATTTATTTATTTATTTTTTATCAACTACTATATTCTAATCGAGTTCCAATGTTTTTCTCTAAAAAAAAAGACGCGAATGTCATTGGATCAAAGCTCCCTGACAACTTGGGCCGTCAAAATGCTTATGACGGACTATATTGACTGGCCCATATTCTGGCGCATGTGGGCTAGGCCTATTTGGCAACATTGTGGAAGGGTGCCGGGTAATTAAAAAACAAATTATAAGAATGACACCGGTTATAACTTTTTATTTCTCATATCATTATTATTATTATTATTATTATTATTATTTATTTTATTTATTATTTTATTAAATTTTTAATTTAAAAATATAATCTTATAAAATGAAAATGGTATAAAAGATTTGACACGAGAAAAGGAAACATTGCTCTAAAGAAATGACACATTCATCCCTCTATCCTCCGAAAAATTGGAACCCATAGTAAAAGAATCGCACAAAATTTTTATATTCAAAATTTTCCAACTTCTGACGCAAAATCCAATTGCATAACTTACAAATAATATAAATATATTTACATTTATGCGTAAGTTTATTAATATATACTTTGTTTATATATATTAGTGAACTCGAAGGATGATATTTCAAATCATATTCATGCTGACACGTATAAATTATTAATTTATTTTATTAATACTGATTTTAGTGTTGTTAATTCATATAATATTGAAATTATTTAATTTAGTAATGATAAATATATTAATTTTGGTCCCTCATTTATGTTATATATAATATTTATTTTTTCATTTACTAATCAAAGAAATTCATTAATCTAGTGTTTTTTTATTTTTTATTTTTTACCACTCTTGATGCTTTCTTAATTTCTAACACATTTTTGCATGTCACCATACTGCATTGCATCATTGTCATGTTAGACCATGTAAAAATTATGTTAACATTCCTACCTAATAACTTACAATTAAACCTTCATATTTAAATGAATAAAATTATAATGGTGTTAGTGTGTAAGGATTTATTTTTAAATTATAATATTTTTTAAAATTAATTTAATTTTAACTATGAAAATTTAATTAAAAATTCAATAAAATTATAGGAGCTACTGATTAATTTAATTTAATATTTATACGAGGATGATAATATATATAATACACATTTTTCCTATTCTCTTTTGCTTATAAACTAAACTAAATAAGATTTTGTCTTTTCCTTCCTCTTTTGTATTTAATTTTAAGGTAAAAAGAGAAAATAAAAAAAAAATGTAATTTGGATGTAAAATATTAAAATCTTATATTCCTATATGCTATGGCAGTGGTAGTATTGTTATATCAGTGTGGAGACCTCTTGGTGGACATGGATTGAATAATGATATGATATGCATGACTATTTGATGCTTTAAAAAATATAATAAGATGTAATCTGCTTTTGCGTTTGTGGGCTGAGTGGAAGTGCTTCATCACCGCACCAGTCCCCACCTCCTATATACTTCCAACCAAATCTTTCCTATGTGACAAATGACCAACACTTACATAACCAATTATTCTCAGATAGAGATATAAATAGTGCAGAACAACTTCCCCCATTACAAGGTACTAGAGTAATAATTTGGTTTTCCAGGTCTTCTCATACAACAAAACTATGGGAATGTTTTAATAAATTTATCAACAAGCACCTATAAAAAAAATAAGAAAGAAAAATAAAACAAATTTTTCCAAAAGTTAAAAGTTAACATATGCACAATCCAATTTGTAATCTTTTGAAAAAGTTATGTGAGATAACTTATACAAATTAACTTATGTATAAATTGATTTTTAATTTTTAATTTTTTTTATTTCATAGTTTTTCTCCTAAAAATACTTTTAAAAAAATTTATTCAAACAAGATTCATATCACTCATGAATATTGAATCATGATCTCTTCAATTATAAGCCCCCTGAGAATACTCCGTTCAAAGTATCATACTTTCCATTTTACACATTAGGACAAAATTCATCGAATTACTCTAGTTAACTTGTAATAACACTACATGTATCATGAGTGAACTTGTTAATCAAATAGTTTTAATTTGTTATGACTAAAACTTTTATATGTATTATTTGCTAAATAATGATATATGTATAATAATTTGTACAATATTATATATTGCATTTTTTTAATCATTAATAAATATAATAAATAATGTAATAGAAATTCACAAACACAAAAATTAATGTTATATAAGTATATTTTTCTTCTTTATTGTGCGACAATTCACATGTACTAGAAAATTTTCAACGGATAAATGTTTCACAAGGATAACAAACTTTTCAATTGTATTTTTTTTTGGTAATGTGTAAAAAAGGAAACATGAAAAGAAATAAAGAAGAAAAGATGTTATAATATGTTAATTCCAACTATTTGGATAATGAAATTTGAAAGAATCCTCCATATTATATAAGACGTAGAAAATCTAACTCATTAACTAATTAGATTGTAAATAATAAAGTTAATTTTTTGAAAAATAATCATAAATTGAACTTGTCAAATAAATATCCCATAATTATTATTTTTTAGATATTAATAGCTTCAATCATCTGGTGTGAATAAAAAAACTTAGCAATATTTATTCGTCCATCTTAATATGATCAAACATTATATTTTACAATGAAAACATCTCTGATTTTTTTTAATATTGCTTTCCCTTTTTTCTTCTTCTTTAAACTCTTAGAGATTACATTGTATGGATGATTAATTTAGGGACCTACCTCATATGTGCATGATAAGTTGCGTGTGTTATCCACTAATTTAGAACAATACAATATGCATATTATTATGCGATTGTGCTCTCCATTATACGATCACCATTTGCCAACAAGCAAGCAAGAAATTGACATCAAGTTTATCTCTACGTCCAAGGT